CTTCCACTCATAAAAAACAAACAAACAAACAAAAACAGTATCTGGCTGGGCACAGTGGCTCATGTCTGTAATCCCAGCACTTTGGGAGGCCGAGGTGGGCAGATCACCTGACGTCAGAAGTTCGAGACCAGCCTGACCAACATGGAGAAACCCCGTCTCTACTAAAAATACAAAATTAGTCAAGCATGGTGGTGCATGCCTGTAATCTCAGCTACTGGAGAAGACTAAGACAGAAGAATCGCCTTAAACCTGGGAGGCAGAGGTTGTGGTGAGCCGAGATCATGCCACTGCATTCTATCCTGGACAATAAGGGGGAAAACTGTCTCAAAAAACAAAAAACCACAAAAAACCAGTATCCACATTGTGGTTATATCTTTCTTAAAATTTTCTCTCTTTAGAGATATACCCAAACTAAACAACTTTTTATCTTGGAATCATTTTAGATTTATAGGCAAACTGCACAGATAATACTAAGTTCCCATATGCCCTTCAGCCAGTTCCCCTAATGTTAACATCTTACAATACCATATTGCAATGATGAAAACTGCAAAACTGGCTGGGTGCGGTCACTCACGTCTGTAATCCCAGCGCTTTGGGAGGCCGAGACGGGTGGATTGCTTGAGGCCAGGAGTTCGACACCAGCCTGGCCAACATGGTGAAACCATCTGTACTAAAAATACAAAAATTAGCCAGGTATGGTGGCACATGCCTGTAATCCTATTTGGGAGGGTGAGGCTTGAGAATTGCTTGAATCTGGGAGGTGGAGGTTGAAGTGAGCTGAGAACACACCACCGCACTCCAGCCTGGGCGACAACAGAGTGAGACTCTGTCTCAAAAAACAAAAAATAAAAAAACCAGAGAAATTGGCCAGGCCTGGTGGCTCATACCTATAATCCTGGCACTTTGGGAGGCCAGGGCAGGAGGATCACTTGAGCCCAGGAGTCTGAAACTAACCCTGGCAACATAACGAGTCTCTGTCTGTACAAAAATGCACACCTAGGGCCAGGTGCGGTGGCTTGAGCCTGTAATCCCAGCACTTGGGAGGCCGAAGCGGGTGGATTACAAGGTCAGGAGTTCAAGACCAGCCTGACCAACATGGTCAAACCCCATCTCTACTAAAAATACAAAAAATAAAAATTAAAAATGCACACCTGTAGTACCTGTAGCTATTCAGGAGGCTTGAGGCAGAAGAATCACTTGAACCGGGAAGGTGGAGGTTGTAGTGAACAGAGATTGCACCACTGCACTCCAACCTGGGCGACAGAGCAAGACTGTCTCAAAAACAAACACAATACTAAGAAATTAATACTGGTGGCACTATTTGTTAAACCACAGACTTTATTCAGACTCTACCAGTTTTTCTACTAATGTCCCTTTTCTGTTCCAAGATGCACTCTTGTTGCATTAGTATATATGTAATTTAAAAAAATCCATATCCACTGGGCACCGTTTTCTTGCTGCTTTTCCCACTTAGTAGTACACCGTAAGGCCGGGCATGGTGGCTCACACCTGTAATCCCAGCACTTTGGGAGACCGAAGCAGGTAGATCATTTGAGGTCAGGAGTTTGAGACCAGTCTGGCCAACAAGGGGAAACACCATCTCTACAAAAAATACAAAAATTAGCTGGACATACTCACTGGAACCTGGGAGGCAGAGGTGCTGTGAGCTGAGATCAGCCGAGATTGTGGCAAGAGCAAGACTCTGTCTCAAAAAAAAAACCCAACACCATAAACGTTTCCCCAGGTTATTAAAATTATTATTATTTTTCTTGAGATGGAGTCTCACTCTGTTGGCCAGGCTGGAGTGCAGTGGTGCAATCTCTGCTCACTACAACCTCCACCTTCTGGGTTCAAGTGATTCTCGTGCCTCAGCCTCCAGAGCAGCTTGGGACTACAGGTGCCTACCACCATGTCTGGCTAATTTTTGTATTTTTAGTAGAGGTGGGATTTCACTATGTTGGCCAGGCTGGTCTCAAACTCCTGACCTCAAATGATCCACCCACCTCCACCTCCCGAAGTGCTGGGATTACAGGCGTGAACCACCACACTTCACCTATTAAAATTATTCTATGCCATCATTTTTAATGGCAGCATAGTGTTCCATTGAGTGGATTTGCCATAAGTTGCTTAGCCAATGGCTTCTTATTCTACATTTAAATCGTTTCTAGTTTTTCACTATTACAAAGAATGATGAGATGAAAAACTCTTACATACTTCTGATATACACATCTCTGATTATTCTGCCACCATAGAAACTCCAGAAATGGAATTGCTCTGTCCAGGGGGCCCATCCCTCCTCCTTCCAAGTCCACAGCCAGGATTTGGCCCTGCTGCTGACCCTTATGCCTGAAGAGACTGCTCACTCTCATCCCGAGCCAGATAGAGGGAGGGGCAGAGAGGACTCCAGGCGGACCACTGCCCCAGACGATAGAGTTGGCAAGAGACGGGCACAGCAGGGAACTCCAGGTCCTTCACAACTTCTGAGGCTTCTGTGAGGCCAACCAGCTGCAGCTGGGTATCTTTTCTCCATGGAATGAGAAGGATGCTTGCTCTGAGCCCAAGGACAATGAGGAGGGGCCGTGTGTGGGGGTGGGGCAGAGATTGCTAATGCATTTTGCCGGCATCTTTGGTTTCTCCAATATCCAGCTAGACTATTAGCAGTTCCCCAAGGATGGCCTTGCTCCTCACGTCATCCCCCATTTCCTATAAATGGGAAGTGGCCGAGGAGTAGTGTGTGTGTGAGTGTGTGTGTGTGTGTGTGTGTGTGTGTGTGTGTGTGGTGGGGGAGGGAAAGGAGAGGAGGGGAAAGGGCCATGGTGGTTTTACCACAGCTGACCTCATGGAGAAATGAAGCCTAGAGAAGTTGTTATTTGCCCAGAATGCCACAGCATCCTAGAGAGTGGTATGAGTTTTCTCTGAGGCTCTGAAGTCACTAGCCAGGCTTGCTGAGGGATTACTACCTCTGCCTTGTTTCTGGGGCCCAGGGACTGCTTGTTTTTTAAGACGGCGTTTCACTCTGTCACCCAGGCTGGAGTGCGATAGTGCAATCTCAGCTCACTGCAGCCTCTGCCTCCCAGGTTCAAGCGATTCTCCTGCCTCAGCTTCCTGAGTAGTTGGCATTACAGGTGCCTGCCACTATGTCCAGCAAATTTTGTATTCTTAGTAGAGACAGGGGTTTCACCATGTTGGTCAGGCTGGTCTCAAACTCCTAACCTCAGGTGATCTGCCTACCTCGGCCTCCCAAAGTGCTGGGATAACAGGTGTGAGCCACTGGCCTGGCGTGGAGACTGTTTTTTCTATGTAAACGGGGGCTGTGGGAGAAATAACTGGCCTGAGGAATTGCCTCTGTTTTATCTGAAAAATGGTACCCATCTACTGGGTCCTAAGGATTCAATGAGTTAATACATGCCAAGTATTTATTGCCTGGCAAAATCAGTAATGGTTAACTGTTATTATTGTAACATGAGGCTCCATCAGCAGAAAGAAGGGGATTTTCAGAGCAGAGAGCCCTACTGTATGTACCCCGTATTGGGTGGGGCCTGAGCAGTGCATGCACCTGGTTTGATCGGGGAGGGGTGATTGAATCACCATGGGATCCAGACTGTGTGCTCACTCCCCTGAGCCCTCCTTCTTCATCTCCTTGTCACAAGGCATAAAGCACAAGGTACCCTGGAAAGAAGTGGTGGAAGGCAGGAGGAAGAGGGGGGCTCTTACTTGTTTGTGGTGGGACAACTCTCTCATGCTCTGGGTGTTCTTTCCCAAGCCTGGAAAATACCACCGTCCACTCTCTTGGCTCTGTAATTTTCCAGCTGACCTGAAATTTCCCCTGACTCCTGACCTCTTTCCTGGAACAGAGGGGACACCAGCTCAGAGACCTTTTACTCCATCCTAGTCTCTCTGATAGCCACGAGAGGGTATGCCAAAGACCTTGGAAAGCCATCGCCAGGAGGGTCCCCAGGTAGAGGTGTGTGTGCTGCAGGGAGGCAACGCTGAGACAGTCACTAAACTTGTTTAGTGACTCAGAAGGCAGATTCTTGATTTTTCTCTTCTTCTCTCTCTATGACACCCACTCTCTCTTCCCCACTACCGCTAGGACACCACTGTTTACCTTTCCCTTCTCTAGTTCCCTTTCTTCTCGGCCTCCCTCTGCCTCTCAGCTGGAAGTGCCCTTAGAGATCATTTGGCTAATCCCCTCTTCTTACAGAGGCCCAGAACATGGAAGGGACTTGGCCCATGTCATACAGCTGGTTGACACAGGGCCAGCATTGGACACCAAGTGCCCCAATGCCCAGTCCGGGACTGAGGCCAACCAGGTCTTTCCCTTCAAAGGCATCTTCCTGGGATTTTGGAGTATTCAAGTCAACAATCCATCTAAATTGGATTTCTCTCCACCCAATAAAACTCCGTGGAGGAAAAAAGACAAAATTGGGCCCCCACCCCCAGGGCCAGCCTGGGACTCCAATTCTCTGCCCTTACCTGCACAGTTCTATTCCTATCAAAGGCATTCTGGAACAGGTATCTGTTAGGACCTTGCTCAACAGCTGACAAAGGGAACATTTCATTGGCAATTTATCATCCATTCTTCCCTATACACACTCTTAAGGAGAAAAAAGCCCTGGAATTTGGTTTTTAGCTGCTGCTGAAAGAGGGACTGAGTTAGCTCTATCTGCGTCGGAGAATAGCAAACAGCAGAGGGTAGCTCCGGGAGAATGTGACAGCTCCTGTAAAGGGATGGTTCTGGACCGGCAGGGTGCAGCTCTGCAGATCGGGTGGCCAGAATGGCATGCCTGGGTAATGGTCGCAGCAGACTGGCTCCGAGGAGAGGAGGGGAGGTGCCCCGCGAAGCCGGGTAGCTTTCACCTCAATGTTTGGTGGCGAGAGACAGAGGGGGCGGTGCGCTGCCCTAGGTAATGATAGGGCAGTCTGGCAGCCACGCGGGGGCTACCCGTCGCGGCGCGGCTACAAAGCCAGCTTGGAGACCTCCCGCTTTCTTCCCCTGGGTACCAGCCCCACCTCTCTATCCCCCCTCGCAGCACCCCCCACCTCCGTCCCGCCTCGCCCCGCCCCCCTCCTGGCACTCCCAGCGCGCATGCTCTCTCCCCCCGCGGAGTAACCTGGAGATTTAAAAGCCGCCGGCTGGCGCGCGTGGGGGCAAGGAAGCGGGGGGTGACCAGCCTGCACGCGCTGGCCGCGGGTGACAGCCGCGCGCCTCGGCCAGGTAGGAGCGCGCCCCCTCCTCTCTCAGGGGTGAGGGTGCCGGCGCGGGAAAGGGAGGAGCAGTGCGCGGCCGAGCTCCGCGGTGTCGCGTGTTTTGCGCCCCGCGGGATGGGGCGGCGCGGTGTCCGTCCGGGGAGCTGCGCGCCGAGCCCCGCGCGAATCCCGGAGGAGGGCGCGTCCCACGCGCTCTGCCGGGGCGGGTGCCGAGTGCCCGGCGCCTGCACGAGTCCCCGCTGAGCGGTGCTTTCTTCCGCGGAGGGCGGGCAGGCAGGAGGTGCGGGGCGGCGGGGTGGGCGGGGAGCGGCGGGGAGCGGCCCCTCCCAGGAGCCCCGGACCGGGCCGACGGCTGGCGGACCAGCCGCTCGCTCCTGTTGCAGCCTCCCGCGTCAGACTTTTCTTTGAAAAGTTGCGTTTATTTTCTTCCCTTGTCTGGGCTTCACCGGAAAGGGGCAGGATGAGTCACTGCGGCGCGCACAGTCCGGGACCTGGGGGAGCCGGGACGGGGGAAGACTGTCGTGGCTTCGCGAGGTGCTCTGGCCCGGGCTGGGTTTCTCGAGGAAGAGTGAGAGAGTTACTAAGGGAGGGAAAGGGGACTGGGCCTTCTCGGAATTTAGACGTGGGGCGAGGCTCTGGGCACACAGTTGGGGCTGGAGTGTGTGTGTGTGTGTGTGTGTGTGACCGTGTGCCCTTTTCAGCCTCAGTTTACCCCTTTGGGGAGGGAGAAAGGCCGCTGTTTTCTCCTCGCCTCCCAGGTCTTAGATGGGGAAGCAGAGCGTTCTGCAAACGGCAAACAGGTGTGATGTGGTGGTACCTGGGCATCTGGCGCAGCTTCTCGGAGCTCTGGGCCTAGGCACACCTGCTGGAGAGCCCCAGGGACCCGCAGACTTTCTCCCGAGTGCGGGTCAGGCCTTCCAGTAGTCTCTTGCTCCCCGCAGGCACTGCAGTCCTGTCAGTTGCTCTTGCCCTTGACCTCTGAATCAGCCGCCATGCTCCTGACAGACACTCTTGACCTGCTCAGCTTTTTCCCACACCAGGGCATGTTCCTCGACCTCCTTTTTTTTTCCTAGGGGCCAGAGTTGGGGGTAGGGAGAGGTTTGGCATGGTAGGTACCTGGTGAGGACTCGCCCTTCAGCTGTTACACAGACCCGATCCCAGTGGAGCAGGGACTAAGAATAGCCCAGCTGCTGTCTTGCTGCCCTGGAGTCTGCAGCCGGGCATTGCCAATTGACCAGGGCCGAGAGTGACCCTTGCTGGGCTCCTGGAACATTTGCTTAGGGGTGGGGTTGAGGTCCTACGGGCTTCGGGCTACCTTTCCCCATCCACTTAGAAGATCTCCTTTCAGGCCAGAGACAGCCTTGGTGTGGACTCACCTGCCCGAGGCCTGGGGAACAGCCTGGCCTATGGGGTGGGAGTGGGAGTGGCAGGTCTCTGGGGCTCTCCAGCAGGCGTGCCTGGGCCTAGAGCTCTGAGAAGCTGCGCCAGATGCCCAGGTACCACCACATCACACCTGTTTGCCATTTGCAGAACTCTCTCCTTCCCCACCTAAGATCTGGGAGGTGAGGGTCTCCTTCTCCTTCAAGGTTATTCAGGGAGCCAGGAGGGCCTGGGAGGTCCAGGCTAGATGGGAAGCCTGAGGAAGCCCATACAGCAGCATATTCTAGGGGATAAGTGGGACGTCATTTGAGGTCGCAGGCCCTTCTGTTGGATCGGTCCCATTCCCTCATTCCTCCCTTATCTCCTCCCACCAGTCCTGTCGTGGAGCCAGGACTCTGTTGTTCTGAAAGTGTTCAGAAAATGAAGCTCGAGTCAGCAGGATGAGTTTGAAGATAAAAATACAGCTGTGGATGAATGTACAGCTGTGGACAGACAGGCTCCAATTTAGTGGGCGTGTGTTAGGGGGTGGTTTCCCATGTGTTCATGGAGTGTGTGGTGAACTTCCCCATCCCTCCTGGCTCCCTAAATAACCTTGAAGGAGGAAGAGGAGTAGACAACAATCCCTGATGGTCTCCTGACCCCCTTCCAGGCCACTAGGTGGTGGAGGGATAGTGGAGGCCTCCCTCCAGCTCTCCCCTTACCCAAACTGGAGCTCTTAGCCCCAGCAGGGCTGGTCGGAAGACTCAAAGTAAAGTTAACTTTAAGTACTATAATCTGGACATCACAGCCTGATAACTCAACATGATGGATAAACACCCAGATTCTCAGAAAGACAGTTTCTTGTCTTTTTTTTTTTTTTTTTTTTTTTTTGAGACAGAGTTTCACTCTTGTTACCCAGGCTGGAGTGCAATGGCGCGATCTCGGCTCACCGCAACCTCCGCCTCCTGGGTTCAGGCAATTCTTCTGCCTCAGCCTCCTGAGTAGCTGGGATTACAGGCACGCGCCACCATGCCCAGCTAATTTTTTGTATTTTTAGTTGAGACGGGGTTTCACCATGTTGACCGGGATGGTCTCGATCTCTTGACCTCATGATCCACCCGCCTCGGCCTCCCAAAGTGCTGGGATTACAGGCTTGAGCCACCGCACCCGGCCTCAGAAAGACAGTTTCTATATTGGCTGCTTCACTTGCTTCACTAGCTGAGCTCCACTAGCTTGGCAAGTTACTTAAGTCCAAGCCTCAGTATCCCTGGCTGAAAAATGGGGATGATAATACCTACTATATAGCTTTGTTAAGTAGATTATGACAGATATAAAATTTATAAACATATAATTACATTATATATAAAGTCTAAAAATCATAGCTTTATTACATATTGTATATAGAGTACTAAACTGTGTGTCTGACACGTAATAAGTGCTCAATAAATGTTAGCACCAACTATATATTATATTGATCATCTGCGACTGAATGGACAGCAGTGCCTAGCCTGGGACCCTCTTCTTGGGTGTTGCTCTTAAAAAACAGAAAATAAAAACCTGCTCTAGACCTTATTTCTTTGGTAGCAAGGTCTCCTGGACTTTGGGGAGTTCGTATGAATAGTTAAGAGATTGGGCTTTGGCAAAAATGATTTGAATCTGATTTCCTCTTGCGCAAGTTATTTAAACTGTTTCAACTTCCTCCTCTGTAAAATGAGGATAGTAGTACCTATCTCAGAGTATTGCCAGGATTAAATAAGCTGATGTAGGTAAAGCTGTGAGCACAGCAGCTGCTTGTAAAAAGAGCTTGATAAATGTCAGCTGCTGTTATTTGGTGACAATAGAGCCAATCATTGTGGCTTACACTTAGAAACCAGAGTTTCTTAGCAAGGGAATTAGATCATAGATAACTATATGTAAGCCACGAAGGACATATCTGCATTTGAACTTGTGGTCCTGTGCAAAGATCACACGAGAATTGGATGACCATGTCTCTCCTCTCCTCTGCTACTGTGTGACTTGTATTTAATTCGTGCAGAAACCCCTGCCCGGCTTGCCTTCCCAGAGTGTACCCCCCAGGCTGAAAAAGGGTACCATGAATATGAATTCAGAGAAAATTCTGAGAAATTAAGAGCCTTCTATGCAAAAAGTTATTCGTTGTTATTTTTAGGAAAACTGTATAGGGAGGGTACGCTGAAGTCCTTCCTCCCCAACCCTTAGGGTGTTTTGCAGTATTCTTTGGTGTCCAGAAAAAAAAAACCCAGTCTAGCTTTCTTTGAACAGTTAGTGGCCCTGTTTGCTGGGCAGCAGGGGTGGAGACTGGAACAGTTGGTACCAGGCCCAGTGTCTTGAACACTGATGCCACTCGACTCCCAGCAATAGAGCTAGAATGTTGAGCTTTGTCCAGTGTATTAAGTGTCCCTGCTTGGGCTGGGGAGAGGGGCAGCTGGTGACAGAGCCATCACGGGATGGTCCTGATCGCTGGCCAGAACTTCCTGTTTAATCCCTTTTTTTCACTACGTGGCCTGTGTTTTCTCCTCCACGGGAAGAAATCCACAGTATTGCCACTGGCCCTGACTGACTTATGGACTCTCATGCTGCTGATGGGCCTGCATCCCCTATTGGCCTTGACTTCATTGCCTGTAAAATGGAGAGAAGATTCACCTTGCACGGTTATGGTGAGGATTAAACGTGATGTGCATATTCAGCCAAGTGCCTGCACATGCCAGGTGTTCCATAAATGTTTGTTCCTTTCCCCTTCTTTGTTACTTCTAGAGATCACTTTCTAGGGAGCTGGGACCAGCCAACAAGAAGGGATTTGGAGGCCACCTCCTGTAGTCCATAGTCCCCCAGTCACCACGGCCAGGATAGACAGGATGCCCGGCCAGAGAGGATACCCTTAGGAGCAGCCAGCCCACAACAGTAGTTCCTGTCTTTCCTCTCTGGTCGCTGTGTGCCCCGCTGCCCCCTGGCCTCGCTGATCTCGAGTGTACTTTGAGTTGGCAAATAGTGTTCAAGCTAAGAGTGCCTGGCCCATCTCTAGGGATGTGGCCATTTAGATTCCCACTCCTGGTTCCTGTCCCTAGAGAGCAGAGCACCTAGGTAGCTTGAGCGTGGCCCTGCCTGGATCCCAGGCGTACTGGTGAAATCACATCCACCACGAATCCTGATTCAGCCTTATCCATAGGCCTTCTGCTGGGTACCTACTCTTCTCAGGGCCTGTGCTCCCCGCTTTCCAGGAGCTGAAGCACTCGTGAGGAGGATGACAGGGGGGGGAAAGACTGCAAATCCGAGACTCTGAGGACTGTGGGCAGCCTCTAACCCTGGGGGTTGCCTGGTTAGAGCAGAGGGGATACTTGACGGCTCAGTTTCCAGGGGGGTGTAGAGGAGCTATGGAGGAGGTGTGAGATTTGAGCTGGGCAGGGCTCAGGTGGAGGGAGAGGCAGTCCAGGAAGGGGAAGTTGGAAGCAAAAACCAGCCCACTGCTGGTGAATTCCCTTATTTGGGGGCCCATGGAGGTGTGCTGAATCATCTAGGGACAACGCAGATAGCCAGCCCGGATTCTGAGATCAAAAACAAGTCTCATGATTTTGAGTCTGGTATTCTTTCCAGCATACCTCACTGGGGACAGGCCAAAAGGAGGGGAGGGAG